AAATATATATATATAAAATGTATCTGATTAAAAAATAAATTCTAATAATTAATATTTAATTTAATTAATTTAATTAATTTATCAATTTTATCATTTTTATTCACAGAGATGATTATTAATTATTTATATATTTTTTGAAGTGTAATTTGTTAAAAGATGATAACGATAAAATTGAATGAATCGTATGAAACGATATGAAAAGAAAAAAAGCATAAAAATAAAGAGTGAAGTTTTATAGAACACTACAAAAATCTGTCTATATGAGTATACGTATATGTGTGTATGAGATACATGTGAGATACATACGGAAATACATTGATAATTGTTACAAGGTGCATTAATTTATAGAATAATAAGTGAGAACGTGACATACCTTGAAATTGTTCGATATATCGATTAAATACTTGTTTAAATAATAAAAAAAAACATGTGTGTGTGTATATATATATATATTATAGTTAAAAAGCAGATAGTATAAATTCGGGGTACCTTCCTCTTCAAAATCCACAGTTAGACTGACACGTTGTCCCCTATGAATGTACTTTTATTGATTGCTGTTTATATGACTTTCCGTAAAAGGAAATTCTATTTATTAAGATATATTATTTTAGTTATACATATATAGCCTTCAAAAAATCATATAAACAATGTTTAATAAAAGAACGTTCATAAAAAATGATGTACCAGTGTAACGGTGCATTTTTAAGAAAAAATTACGTACAACTTACACTTTGTAATTTTAAACAACAATATACATTTGTTTTAATTAATTAACAATCTTTTAAGATATATTTTATATTCTAATATACTTTACTAATATTTTTATATTATTTATATTTTTAATAATTTAAACTATAATAAAAATAAAATAAATCACAAACTCTTCGTAATTTTAAACAACAATATACATTTGTTTCGTTTAAGTAACCATTAAAGTGCTATGGACGCATATACGCGTTTGTTAATATTAATATAAAATAATGTCATATGTTTATATTAATTAATTAAATTATATTCACAGAAAGAAAAACTTTAATTATTAAATATAATTTATTATCCGTTCCTACAAAACATTTTAGTTAAAAGTATTCAGCACTCAAAGGGATTTAAAAATGATTTAATATTTATATATAATTAAAGTAAATAAATGAATTTATTTCGAAATTCATTTTATATAAAAATGTTGAAATCTTGTTTATATTTTCTGTCTATCGTGTTCGTTTCGAAAAGATTTGAATTTCGTGATCCGAAAATCATAGAGAGGGGTTTTTTTCGGTACAACGAGACTTCTTCAAAGAAAGACACATTTGTGGTATATTGTACCAGCAAAGGATTACATAATCTTCGACATTCCTGACCAACATACTACACTAACCGAGCACGCGTGTTTTCTGACACGAAGAGCGATATGAGAGAAAGTCTATTATATATATATATATGTATATGTGGAGTAACATGCATTTGTTGTATTAACAGAAAAAAAAAGAAATTAAAATTAACATTTAAGGTTTAATTATTAATATTCTAACAATTTTATGATAATTGAAAATTTCTCTAATATCAAATATTTTCTAATATGCTGTTGTTTAACAGCATTTATTTAAAACATTTTACGCGATACAAAAATTAACAACAACAGCAACAACAATAACAGACTGTTTTCAAATTACTCACCAAAAGATACGTCAGCACGAACCCCCGCCAGTCCATGGCTAAAATAAAAGAGAAAGTCTTATTAATAACTGGGTCGAACTTCCATGAATAGTAGTATGGTCGTCCGCGCAAACATTGTCCATGCGTGGTGTTGTCACGCAAATGACTGAGATATTAAAAAATGAAAAAAAAAAAAAAAAGGAAGAAAATATATACTTTTTTTCTTCTTATACTTTATCCTTACATCATACTTTTATCATTACAACATCGGAAAAATAAAAGTAAGGAAAATTTATTAAAGTACAACAGAATAAACAAGAAAAAATGAGAATTTTGGTTTAACGTACCGTATTTAATTATTATATTTTATTGTTTATAAAAAAGAACACATTTTAAATAAGATAAAACGAAAAGAATGTAATTGTAAAAGATCGGAGAACAGCAGAACGCACGAGATTCCACGAGGGTTAAGGTCGTTTCTGATAGTAATGCCGGTAGTTACACATACATAAACACACGTATTATATACACATTGAAAGATTCGTTTTACGTATACATCCATTCCAACACGTTTTTAGAAGGGTTAGTAGAATTCTCCACACTATCGTAGGTTTCGTCGCGTGAGAAAGCAAACACACGAGTTAACTCCCATAAACGTGAGCCTAACGCAACGTTCACTTTTTATAAAAGAAGAATCGAGAGTGAGATAGTGGAAAAAGAGGAAAAAGAAATAGAAGTAGAAAAAGAAGAAGAAGAAGAAGAAGAAGAAGAAAATAAAAGAAAAATAAGAATATGAATAGGAATAAAAATTATTAGTAGGAGAAGATAAATAAAAAGAAAATTAAAATGAAGAAAAATAAAAACGGAGAACACGACCTCGACCGTAAACGAGAGGACCACCGTGATCGAAGTCGAGCGTCAGCCGCCATTTTGCACGCACTCAAGATCGAACGACCACGTTACGTTAAATCTTTTCATTTTCGTTTTCCCTTTCCTTTCCGATAATGTATTTTTGATACGTATATATAAAATATTATTTCTCGAGTTTGGTATCGATAATGGTGTCGGATCGACATCTCGCGAGATTCTGTTGCCTTTCCACCTTCTTCTATGTCTTCGTACCGCTAGGATGCTTCTATTACAGGGCTGTATCATGATTTGGTACTATCATGACCAGGGCTGTATCGAATAAATCTCTGATAAAAGTCTTTATCCTATTATATCTATTTATCTATTTATTCATCTAAATAAATTATTTTTATTTCTAATTTAATATAATTTATGATCATATTTCAATGTTATTTTTTGGGATTTTTTTTTTTTAATATGTGGGAGGGAAAATAAAGAAGAAAAGAATAGTAATCAAAAATGAATAAACCATGAGGGCAAGTTTGTTCACGGAAACAGATGTCACGCGGTTGGCTGATCGACCCTCTTTATATTCAAACGAAAGAAAGGAAACCGAAAATTTCAAGGTCTCCGAGAACACGTAAGCCTAGTTAAAATTAAACACGAGTAAAATCATTACAAGATACGATTTGTAAATTGAAATAAACGATTATTTTCCTAATATTGTATGGGAAATAGAACAACGTTGGAATATTGATTGCGAATCTTGCTTATTATTACAGTGTTCGGTATATCTAGCTATACCTATATATAAGTATAATCGGTACGTAGTGTAATCGGAGAAAATTATCTGGCGTTGAAATCACCACCAGTAAGAGACTTCAATGCCTCCTCCTTCCTCGATTTAATTCTCAAGTTCAGCGTATATCAACTCCCGCATATACACTTATATTCTTTTGGAATCCACTTAATAAATTTGGAAAGCATTCATTAAAAATAATCATACTTTTATTGTAACGTTTACGTAGGTTAAACGCATCATTTAAAGTCCGATATTTTCTTTTAAGAGTAGGTAAGTACGTAATTTTGTTGGTTTTACTACTATTTTCTTCTTTTTTTTATTAACTTACGTAATCAATCCAGGATAACTACTTCTTCCGATATTACTTTCGCTTTTCACGAACGCGATCTCCTTCACGGATTTGTCTAACGCACGAGATTGATATACCTATATATGTATATACCTATTACATATATATGTAATACATACATATATATATATAGATTTAGCGTAGGACGATTGTCGATCCTTGGGTACTCGCATATTTGGTTAAAGCTCGCCCACGAACATGATAACGATGACGACAGTAACGACGAGGATGATGATGATAATGATGATAATGTCGAATCGATGATGATGATGATGATGATGACGACAAGCCTTGAGCTCGTTTTCCATTGAATAATCCATCGTCATTAAAGCGACTATTAGATACCATAATTGTCGCGTGCTTCCTACGCCACTGGTTATGATTAAACGGGAGAAAATGTATTCCCTATACGCAATTTCCCGTTTAACCATAATGTCCAACCTTCGAAATTGTTTTTATCATAAATACTGTGCATTTTGATATGAGAAATGAAAAAAAATATTTAAAAAGTAAATGGAACTTATTTACATTAAAAGATATCTTCTGGTTTTTTTTGTTTGCTTTATATATTTTTTTATTATTTTATCTTTTTTGTATTGATCCTTTTCATTTGACTTTTGATATTAAATATACATATTTCAGATATATCGGCAACGCCCTTGAAAGTCTCACGAGAATGTAATAACCGTAGAATTTCTACACGCGCGCGAGCACGACATGGCGCCATCTTGATCTCTTTGCGGTTAAATCAGTCAATGTGATCTCGATATATGCAAATTTAAAATACAGCGATTTATATGAAATGAGGGTAAATAAAAATTCGAATTTTTAACGTGTATTAATTAATAATAAATTACACTTCGTGAGAATACGTATCGACTCAATCTGAGATCATTTTTATTCGTAGAACATCAATTTGCGATTTCAAACGACCATACCAAATAATTGAATTCAATCAAAAAGTAAAAAGAAAATTGTATATAATCATGCAAAAATACAATTGTTATTTTCTTGTTTATCTTACCTGCTGATCCGTTACCGCCAAGACTTCGAAGTAGAAGATACAAATCGATGAGGATTCCAGGATGTCCGGCACAATGTCGAACGTGACGAGGAGGGTTAAACTCCACACGAGAATAATCGAGTTCACTCGCGTCCCAACGATTAGATTAAAACTTGGAATTGAGGGAAAAATACGAAACGTACGAAAGAAACGAAACAAAACGAAGGAAAAATAATAAAATAAAATAAAATGGAACACATAAAAAAAGGGGTGGTACGAAAAATTCGTCTAAGGCTCGACTGATCGATCGATCGATCGATCGTCAATGACGCAAAGCGCGCGAAAAATACTGGGCTTTTGAAATTGGTCGTAGTCGACCTATCGAACTTTCGCTTCTCGTCCTCGACGACCTTAAGGTCCACCTCGCGTACGTCGACATCCCAATGATCCTGTTTTCTTCCTTTCTCGTTTCTTCTTCTTCTTCTTCTTTTCCTTATCCTTTTCTTATTTCTTTCTCTTTCTCTTTCTCTCTGTCTATTTTTTTCGATTGCCAATACGAAGACACCGGTTCTACGACTTCCACTTTTGGATTTCGTTCGTCACGTCATAGAATGTTGCCAATTTTGGAAATCATCCATCGTTACGTTTTCTACAAACGATATATTATCAACAATTGTTTAACATTCTGTTTTTTCTTTCGTATTCAAATAAAATATCTTCACACTGTTACCGCACTGAACTTAATTTATCGAGGTTTCGAATTAGCTTTCATGATTGGCCGATTTTAAAACTGTCAAATAACGCGGGATTTTAATCGTCGAAAAGATCGAGGACAGATCAAGAGACGATGTTAATTTCTCTTTTAAAAATAAAGAGACAGAGAAAGGGAAAGAAATATAGAACTTACGTTAGAATCTTGATTTTCTTTTTTCTCTCATATCGAAGTTTTTCTTCAAAACTGTTTATCTAAACAACCATCATCCTCGTAGTAATCGAGTAACTTTTTTACTTGTTTCTCTTCTTGATTTTTTGATTTTGTTATTGTTGTTGCGTTTTTTATCGGGTATACACTGCACATAAACTCCCGTGTTTAGTATTAGGAACGATTTTTAAAACGACAGTTGAACGGCAGTGATGGAGGAGAAAAAAAAGAAGAGAGAAGGTTAAAAAAGTCACGGAGAATAAAGTACTAAACCGTTCCGGTCGACGCGAGCCTCCAGACTGAACTGATGTGAGTGAGCTCCTCTGGGGTACTTCGTGCTTCTCCGTGAATGTTCGCGAGAGGGAGGGAATGAGACGACGAATGTGACTGGCCGTTGAGATAAGCTCGGAACCACGCATATATATATATATATATATATATATATATATATAATCTCACTTACGTGTTTGAGTAAAAGATAAAGAAAGAGAGAGAGAGAAAAAAAGAAGGAAAGAGAGAGCGAGAGAGAGAAATAGAAAAACGTAGCGCGCGGCCATTCGAATGTTGAAGCAAGACGCCTACCTTTTTCTCTAACACTCGTCTCGACGTCCACAAGCCGTGAGCGAAAGAACTAAAGAAACAAATAAACCGCGAAACCAAAGGAAAGCACGTTCTATCGTTCGCGTGTAAAGAAGAACGAGACGAGTAGAGTCCACGTTTACGTCATCGCTCGAATTGGCAACTCTATCCGTGATGGCCTTTGAAATGGACCTCTTACCTTCCGAAGATTCTCAACTCTATCCCATATATGATCCATCACTTTGTCACTTTCTAATTTTAAATCGTTTTTATATAAATCGAAAGTTAATTCGTTCTGTCAATTTTCTCGACAATTAGTTTAATTATTAGTGATACGTTAAATATAATACTAATGAACACGTTTATGTACATAATTCGAATATTCCAATATGATCGATTTATTAAACAAATTACGTACTATTTTGTTAAAAAAAAAAAGTAATAATACATTTTTATTTTCTTTTTCCTTGTACCTAGCCAAATGTACGGATTTTAATTTTTATTTTAAATGAGAGATTACGTGTAGTTTTGTTTGTTTTTTGTATTTTTTTTTAAATGGAGCGTCCGAAAAAATGGTTCAGAGGCGCCATCTGTTAGAAAACAAAGTAACTTCTAATTAATTGAACTCATATGCAGCCTGCACGTTGAAATTTTTTTTAATATTTCTTTTATTCTTTATAAAGTATTTTAGTATAAATACATATTATTTAAAAAGGTGTAAATAATCTTAAATGAAATAAAAACTGCCAACAATTCTATCTTAAAAAATACAAATAATGTTAATTAAAATGTAATAACGAGCTGTACAAAATTACATTCGAAAGGAATCCTAAAACGTGCAAATTTTGTATAATAATTTAAAATGGCATTATATCGTGTTAATATGAACGCAACATCAATGATTTATAATTGTTATAAGTTCTGTGTTAATGTAACAAAATTAGATTTATCAAAAATACAAACGACAGTAAAAAATGAACAATTTTCATTGAGATTCGTGTCTCCGTATTCAAGTAAGCAAATGAACATAACCTACATTTGATTCCACTGTTTTAATTACAATTGATGTCAGTTATAATTTTATATATCAATATAAAAATTTATTGATCATTTATAACTGACTGTCAAATATTATTTTCTATTTCATTATTTATATTTAATGTTTATCACATACTACAAACTTTATTTATTTAAGATTAATAATATCTAATGTATTATTTTTTCTAAAGCAGGGAGAAAAATAAATTTACAAAATTATATAAACAAGAGAAAACACGAAGCGTCTAGAAGTATAATAGTTCAAGTAGCAACATTTAAATCATGCAAGGAACTTTTACTTTTCTGCTCTAATTTTGGTCCTATAGAGAAAGCGTATTTTTATACATTACCAAAACAACATGTAGGTTAGATATTAGATTAATATTTTATTTTAAGTTTGTCTTTCTTTCTATTTAAAATTCGTATTTAATTATCTTTTTCGATATATTAATGTTAAATGACATTGCATAAACTTTAAATAATTTCAAATTACGATAATAGTGTTAAAGAAATACATTAAATTATTCTAACTAATAACGAAAAATAAATGAATTTCAGCAATTCGTCCTAATTGAATTTAGAAATAAAAACTCTCTTGATAATATCTACGCTAATACAGCATTCATGGATGAAAGTAATTATGTTCCCTGTAGAACAAACGTATTATGGTTTCGTAAAACAAAACAAGAGAAAACAAACCAAAAATATTACTTTGGATTACCAAAAATAAATGTCTGTAGTCCTTTAATAGTACAAGAGAATAGTATTAAAGATGCACTTATATCTTCATTATCGGTAAAATCTTGTGTATTTTTATTTCAACGATGTTTGACATATTTTCAACATTTATTCTAACGCATATTTAGTTTTTATAGATATCCAATCAAATGACAAATTTATATCAAAAATACAAATTAGATGAATTAGAGATAAGATTAAAATTTCAAACTATTGTTCAATTAGAAAAATGTTTCCAAGGTTTCTTTCCAAACATAACTATACATCCATTTGGTTCTTTTGTAAATGGTTATGGAAAGAAACTATCTGATCTTGACTTGATTCTTTTTACAGATGTTTGTAAAAAGGTAAGCATACGATGATAATAACAAAATTATTTATATCTATTTAAATAAATATAAAATATAAATTATCTTATTATAGGACAGTACATCAAACAGATTGGTATATCATGGGAAATCAACTAATATTGATGAAAAGCAACATACCCATGCATTTATGGGAGTATTAGCAGATTCTATGAAATATATTATACCTGGTATATTTAACGTACGAAAAATTTTTAATGCTAGGGTTCCTATTATTAAATTCCAAAATTTTTTTACTCACACGGAATGTGATTTGAGTTTGAGTAATACGTAAGTTTCAAATGTATTACTTTATTTGAAAAACAATTTTTTAATCTTGACTTTTGTTTCATAGAATTGCCACATACATGTCGGAGCTATTATTTTTATATGGTGAAGAAGATGAACGAGTGAGACCACTCGTATTTACAATTCGAAAATGGGCAGAAGATAATAAATTGACCTCTATTCATCCAGGGAAAACAATTACAAATTTTTCATTGACTCTATTAGTAATATTTTATTTACAACAAGTTGATATATTACCTGGCATAAATTCTATAACAACTTTTTCAGGTAAAGTTTATTATAAAAAAGAGTTTGGTATGATACTTAACTAAATCAGATCACTTAAATATATCTCCATTGTTGAACAAATTCTTTCTAATGTTACATTTCCTTTATGTAATAGTGCAACATTTTTTTTCTTCAAATTTTTTAATACAATTCATACAAAAGACAATATTTAAGTGATCCCATTTAGCCGAGACACTCTGTATATATTTATATTTATATATAATAATATTCTGTTATTTATTTTTTTACAGAAATATCAAATAATAATAAAAATAATGTCCGCGGTATATATACGAATTATTCGCCAAATTTGTCGAAATCACATGTAAATAATGATGCACATTTAAGTGCTCTTTTAATAGATCTCTTTAAATTTTATGCTACATTTGACTTTGGTTCTCAAAAAATTTGTTTGCGAACAGCTACTGCAATAAAATCAATGCACAATGCAGCATTGTATATATGTAATCCATTTGAAACAGAATTAAATGTTAGTAAAAATGTTAGTTTTAATGAAATACAACGCATGAAGGCATTAATGACAGTAGCAATTTCCAACCTTCAAAATACTAAACCTATAAAGACTAGAAAATGGGGTATTTTATCGATACTAAACTTCCCCGAATCACACAATGTAAGTATCAATGTATTAAAAATATTTGATAAAGAGACAAACACGGAAAATACTCAAGATGATAAAACGATAACAAATGTTCAAGAAAATGATGTTAGTGATACATTAAATGTAGAAACTAATGATGAAATTGTTACCAATAAAAATCTTATGTAACAGAAATAAACCAAATGTAAATATTAATAATATTATCTTATCAAGAAATTTGTAAGATATTATTGTAATAAACAATCATATTTCCTTTTTAATTTAATATGTATATATATAGAAATTATATAAAAAGAAAAACGATAAAAACATTTAAAGCATAAGAAAATAAAATTAGCACAAATTATATTCACGAAAACACTAACGTGTATAATACACAAAATATGTGTTTTAATCGTACAAATGTGTTAAACACAGAATTATGAAATTTTCTAAATAATTTATAATATTATATATGTGTGTGTAAAACAAAGCTAGATAAAAAGAACTACAGAATGAAAAGGTTCTATGTAAATAAATGGATATACGTACCTCAAAAACGAGGGAAAGAAATTGCAAAGAGAGATTTGAAACGAATTTGAATCAATGCAGAAACAACATATTCCTTAATTTGTATATTTTTACTTTATCAGCATTTCTGCATTACTTTTTTTCTTGTCATACATACTTATCGTTTACATCTGGCTATAATTAAAACGTCCTTAAAGCCCCTCTCACACGAAAAACCATAACTTCGTATTCCTCGAATTATTAATTTAATCATAATAATATACTTCCGGGCGACAATTTCTTCCATGATTTTTATTATTGCGATCGGTTTCGCGATCGTTAATGCATGTACGTGTATGTATATATATATATATATTTATTTTTTTCCTTGTAAGTATGCGTGAGTATTATTTTTTTATATGACGACGAATAAATATATCATCGTTAAGAATCCTCATATCGCACGACTCACCTCGATCAAGAGGATGAACAATGAACATGAATTCCGGTATAATAATCAACGATTATCGATTACGAGTACGCTTATCGGATTAGGCTATTCTTTCGTATGATGAGTACTCTCAATTAAATTCGTAATGTACTTGTGGCTGGCAGTGTTGTTTACTAACTAACTTGTTTTACCCGACCAACCGAACTGTGCGACGCGCACTTTTTATATTTCATATTTATAATTTCTATTCGACTGATATAATCGACACATGCACCGTTATTAAACGTTTTTTTTTTTTTACTTCTTCTTCTTCTTCTTCTTTTTGGTTTTTTTTTTTTTTTTTTTTATAATCAACCCTTAAACTGCTATCAAATTTTATATGGCAGCTTTTCTATAAGTGTTTAACAATGTTATTATTAATATGGATAAAATATCAATGGGTGTGATGTTGTCGATACTTCAGCTCGTTCTACTTCTCCTTTTTCTTCTTCTTTTTATTTCTTTCTTTTCATCATCATCAATCAAATGWAATTTTTCTTTAATATTGGAGGGATAGGAAAATGTTAACTTCTCAAGCTCGATGGCGCGCACAGTTTCTTCGTAAACGTATCCTCTACAATAATACTAATCAACATTCTAAATGCAACAACTTCCACTGAGAGGATAAAAGTTAATAATAATAAATGACTCAATGTTATTCATCTTACATCTAAGTCGGTTATTATAAAAGTGGTCTAAGTTTATACTTGAAATATTAAATATTAAAAGTAATCCATAAAATCTTTTAATTACATGAAATTTTTCTTTGTCATTATCCAAACATCATTTGTAAATAATTCAAATTCAAATGGAAAAATATTTAAAAGTAATAAATATGACTTATTATTAGACTATTTTTATAAACACTAAATCTTATCTATTTTATTTTAAATAAATAAATCAACCCTTTCACCATTCTAAACTTTCTCTCTCTCTTTCTTTATATTTAACGTAATTGATACTTCGAGTTATATAAAACATTTTTAATCATATTCCAATTATAAATCATCATCGTCTTACAGAAATATCTTTTAACATTCGATTTGAAATCGTATTATTTTGGGACATATTTATTTTTTATCAAAATGATGAAAGAGTTGAATTAAACAATTAAAAGATAAATACTGATTTGTTGTTGAAACAATTTCATTTTTAGTAAATACCTCTCAGTGACGTTTCGAGCAAAAAAAGTTCTCTCGATTCAACTTTATCTCTTACGTTTACGCGAATTCGACAGGATTAAAACATTTTCTACTTTTTTTATGTAGTACATGTCTCCATATATTCCGTCTTTGGTGTACACCTGTATCTATGTATTGTGTGTGTGTGTGTGAATGTATGTTGTGATACGTGTGCATGTTTTTTCTTATGTATTGTATCTTGCATATATTGTGTGTGTTTGTAAATACGTGTGTGATGCGTATATATATATATTTATCGAGACGTTTTCAAAATCCTTCGAAAAAATTCACGAAACGTTATTCTTTATGTTTACTTTTTCTTTTCTTCTTCTTAACAATACGTCTCGCGATTAACAACAAGTATATAATCACCAAAAAGATTACAGTCCTTCGGACAATACCATTCTAAATGTTTCTCTATAGGCTTTCATTTATAATTCTTCATCGGCACACTTTGAATTGATTTGAGAATCGTCATCGGAATATATTACGTTGAAAACCTCTTTCTTGAAATGTCTAAAAATCAAGAAATTGATTTAAGTACAAAAACAAATGAGCAAATTTGGAAAAAAAATAAAAAGAGAGAGAGAGAGAGAGAAAAAAAAAAGAAAAGAAAAAATGGGAGTATTCATTTCGATAATTGGGTTTAATTATTTTGTTTTTTTTTCTTCTTCGTAATAGGAAGAGTGTTGTTTTCGATAATTCGACTCCCTATAATCCCTTAATTCGTCTTGCTCTTACGATGATGACGATGATGATGAATAAGATGTTGACGTAAATGCGATCTGGTCTCTTGTACTGCTGCAACCAAGGTTCGTACAGCTTCCTCGTGACCCTCGAAGCTGTCTGCTCTCTTAAGTTGTCCCAGGGAGGAGGATGCACCTTCACTGGGTCCGCTTCTTTTGCTCTTTGGTCGAGGGAAGGTTTCCCAGGAACGCTGCTTCTGCACCAGAGATGACGTCGTAGGTGATCCGATCAAAACAACGAATGTTTTCCTGGGATCCTGTGAGGATTGACCTACCGTCCCGTCAACGATGCTCGATCTTCTGCTACCAGAACCGGTTGTACTTAGGCTGTCACAGCTGGCACGTCTGCGTCTTCGAACGTCACTAGGAGCCTTATCATCAGCATAGAAGACATCCTCGGAGTCGCTAGCCGGATACACCTTTGTACTTTTTCCACTGAATAGTTTTTGGTCGTCCGGTGGTATAGGATGTACTTGCGCTTGGACTCGTTTTTTGGCCTCGCCCATGCTAGAAGCTTCGGAAATTCGTTGATATTCCCCCTCATCACCACCTTTTGACGATGACGATAGAAAGCTTTGAAATTCTATATGAAATCTTTACAACTTTCTAACTTAAAATCTTATGTCTTTACCTGCTTGGTGAGATTGCGCTTGTTGATGTTGTTGTTGTTGTTGTTGCTGCTGCTGTTGACCGTCCGTACATCTTTCTGGTTGGTCGAGTGCCTCAGCTGATGTATCACCGGTTGTACCTTTCAAGGAACGATACAACGATCGAACCTTGCTACCCGAAGAATGTCCTGGTGGTGTTTTAGGTTTCGTACCATCGGGTGACTTTCTGGAACGTCGGCTTTGACTACGGTCCCGACTACCGTCATCTCTTCCTGGTGATTTCTTACGATCCTCTTTTGTTCTAGCTTTATCAAGAAGCTCTCTCAGTACTCCTCTTTTTTGTTCGGAAGATTTAGTGGTACCGTATAGGAGTATGTTGCCACTAGAATCTAATACAGCACCAACACCCGATGGTGTCCGACAACGTGTCGGCATTTCTTTAGTTTCTAGAGAATCAAAAAGTATTATCGTATAAAAAGAAATTGTCGAAAAGTTAAGTCGAGTCGTCGAGAATTATTTGTATACCCTTCATGTAAAGAGCGTTGTCAACACTGGTCATAGTACCTCGTGGATGACGATGATCCTTAGTTGGTGCTTGAGTTTGTGGTTGAGGTGGTTCCTGCATCTGCAAGCGTGCTATATGATCTAATAAAGCTTGCAGGTGTTGACTACTGGATGCATCCGAAGCTGCCATGCTCGCTTCACCTGCAGTAACTCCTGTAGAAAACGATTTCACAAACGGTTCCAATTGTTGAGTAAGACTTTGTAATTGCTTCACTTCACTCCTTAAAGATAGAATATCATCCATCTACAGAAAATAAATTCATTGTTTAGAAAATAAAAGAATTATTAGAATAACATTTGAAATATGAATTTTCGAGATATACACCTGAGAATGGAAGATTTCTTTCTCTATATGAATTCTGCACAATTGTTCTTCCCACAAAGCATCAAACACGTTCCTCAATCGTTCCAATTCTAACTGATGATGTTCTAATTGTTGTTCTAACACACGACAATCTCTCGCCACATGCTCGTAACGCGTACCCACAGGCGGTGTATTAGCTCTTCTAAGTAGTGCGACGTCTCGATGGAGTTCTCCTAAACGTTCCTTCACTGTCATCAGTTGTTGACTTAGTTCTTTCAATTGGGTATCGAAGGTGCGACAATGGTTGGAAAATGGCCCACCGTCATTTCCGTTCTTCGGCTGGATTCTCTGAGCAGGCTTGCTGCTCTGTTAGAAAAATGTATTCCTGATATAATGATAAAGCTTACTAAGATTTACCACAATACAGTTACAGTAATCGTGTTGACTGACTACGATATCCGACTACCGTTCTCTATTACCGAATAAAACACACTGAGAGCCTGGTGTAGCCAACGCGCTACAAAAAAGTTTCTTTCTAATTTATCTACAAGCTACCACGACATTTTCAAAACAAACATCATAGTAAATCCTGTAAACAAAAGTACTTACACAGAATTGTGTGCGAGAAATGCAGTGAAAAACAAACTTGTAATGTAAAATTAAAAATAGGTATCGATGCATAATGAAGTGTTTATGAGTACCTGTATAACCTGCGGTTCCTGCTGGCCCATCGTGTGAGTCTGATCGTACAATGATTCTTTTGGTGTTTGTACCTGACCAATAAAAGGCTGTAACGTACGAGCAAAGTCGCTTTTATAGTTTGTCTTCAAATGGGCAGCAAGTAGAGGGGGTCTCGTAGGGTGTCCAAGTTGAGCTACACGACTCAATCTTTCGAGCATAGGATGTGCGAGTTCAAGAAATTGATATTTTGTCGCACCACTTGTAAAAGCTGTACACAGCATTAAATGCATTTGTAATATTGGAACTGCACTACCCAAGGATAGTAATCGAGTCCGAACCATTCTTTCCTTAGTTTCAAATTGACGTTGAAGTTCCGTTAAAGCGGAAGAATGAGTTTTATTAATTGCTTCTTGCATTCCTTGACAAAATGAATTTAATGCGCGTTTTTCTGATTCTAGGCTATGACGTAACTCATCCAACTGTGATTTTAATGCCAAAACTCCATCTCTTACGCCTGCTTGTAATTCGCAAATTGAATTTGCTGCTCTTTCCATTTTTTTTGAAGCCTGTTGCCAAGCGCTTTCGATGTCCACACAATGTATTCGAGCATCTGCTGGTGTATCACGAAAACATGTTGCACAAAGCATACATTTAGCGCTTTGACAATACATGATGTATTGCTCCCCATGAGAAGGACAACGACGTTGAGTATCCTTTGCACATTTGCTCATATGCACCACTTCGTGAGTGGAGAACATTTTTGCACGGTGTGTATGTTCTCTGCAATGAGTACATAGAGCTTGCCCTATAAATTAATAAATCTGTATTGAGTGACGCATAGACTATAATATATTTTTGCTGGTATATAAAAAATAACATTAAATAATAGTAAAATATTTTATAAGAAAATACCACATGTTGTGCAGAAGAACATAGTAGATTTGTCTCGTTTATCACAATTGGCACATGGTGGATTTTCAGAATTGGCTAATTCTACTAGTTGACGTATTAACTGATCCAGTGGTGGTAATTGTGCTCCCTCTTTAAGTTGTGTTTGTTGCCTGTAAATATAAAACTATTAATATTTGATAATAATAATGAAATATAGAATAGAAGAGAACAATCAATAGGTAGAATTTGTGCGAACTGGAAAAATATTATTTGAAGTATATAATTTTTCAAAAATCTCAAAATATAACAATTCTATAAACAAATAATAATACATGCATAATTAGCTTCAATTTTCATAATCATATCTTTCAAGTTGAATTAAACACAAACTCTTCAATATCATTGATGAACTTTAACTGGATAAGGGATTAAAAGCAGATCAAAGAATTGTAAAAGAAAATGAATATACACATACATCATGAAATAAATCACAGATATGCAGATAATAAAGAATGCCATTGTGATATTATGAATGGCTACATGCAATTAGATAGTGAGACAATGAGGGTAGCAGACAATGAATTCCACACACTTCTCTCTAGTTTGATTGAGATGCAGCACCAAACGCATTGATTGAGTATCGATCAACACTGTATTTACTCTGCTCTACACAATACGTGAATGTAAGTAAACATCTCATGGGCGTGCTACAATCAGATAATACCTAAACAAATACTGCAAAAGAAGTATTTAAATATTTGTTGTAGAAGAATATTAAGAATATTCAATGAAATAATTTGAACATGCAGAAGCAACATTAAATATAAATCAATGCAAAAAAAAGAAAAAGATAATGCTCATGTTTTAAAAGTGCGATATATACCTAAATAGAAAAATCTTCAAAGTATATAATGAACAATTAAGATATTATTGCTACATAAAAGGTCAAAAGAGAAAGCTCGGTGATTTCTTTGAATAAACAAAATATAATAAATATAGGGAGTACTTTGGATTACTTTACTTGCAACGTACACAGCGATTTTAAAGTCAGCAGGCCAGCACGAAGCATGCAGAAACTGCTTGTTCGGGATGAGCGTAGATCCCACGAATATCCTAAGGGTAGGGCCATGCAATAACAGACGTTGTTAACTACCCGCAGCTGGGACAGGTGACTTTTCCGTCGAGGTGAGGGCCACGTATACAGCGGGCGCAGAATGTATGAAAGCAGGAGAGTAGACAAGGCTCATTGTAGTAGTCATGACAGACACCACAAATGAGCGGATTCTTGGGACCACCGGGATCGACTCCAGACATGGCATTGTTCTCGCCGACCCCGTCGACAGCCACCGACCCCGAACTCGTCATCCTCTGCGAACCGACGGTCACCTGAAAGAAGACAAATTCTCAACTTTTGAGAAGTCGGAATATACGTTCTAGTTTTTACCCTCGAAGATTTGTTTCCTTGTTCTTCTAAAGAATCTTTTATCTTATAAATACGTTAAATTAATAAAAATGTTTACCTCCAAGACCGTTGGTCCGCCCGCCGCAGAGAATCGCGATGGGATGGTTTATCGGCTCGTCATTCTGACGTAGTACGGTGCCAACCCCGTTTGCGCCTGACGATCGGCCCTGACGTCATTGGAGCGCCCACCAATCTCTCCCTCTACCCGCATAGGAGGCGCACGCATACAACGCCTGAAGGGCCATTGGCGCCGACTATGCACCACCCCAAGGATGCCTCTCAGCGACCGGTCAACGTTCTTCCTACAACACCTTCCATATCTCGTCCTTTCTCTAATTAATTTCTAGATGATTCCATTTATTTCTTACATTCTAACATCGATTAGATTAGATTCAAACTCTAGTTATTGATCGATCCTATTTTCTTCCTCCTCTTTCCAATTTTCAATTGTTCCTAATCCTTTCTTCGAGCATCTTCGTAAACAAAAAGCAAAGCGTTTTTCACTACAATAAGAAACAATTATTAGACTAAATAAATACAATTTTATTCTTTAATATAATTGCATTTTGATTACAAGAAATGAGAGTAAAAAAGAAATAATTTGAAAGAGCCGCGCCTATGCGAAGGACAAGATTGTGTACGTGCAGAGAGAAGCTCGTTCACGCAGGGAAATCGTGTGAGTGCGCAGGAGGAGACAGCAACCCCTTGCCGTTTCCTCTGAGCTCTTTCCGCACCCCTGCAGACACACGACTCTATATGCGACTTACGTATATGTATATATTAGTGTGCGCGAATCTACCTGGATAAAAGTAGTAGTAACGTAGCGAGACGAGTCTTTGCTGTTTGGTGAAAGCATCCAGCGTGCATGACGCATATGAAAAAAAGAAATAGATCATGTGAATATACATAGACAGTATATATATATATATATATAAGTATATAAGAACATATACAAATATATAAGCAAACATATATATCTATATGAATTCGGATATTCTTTTGTGTTTCTCAGCTCTTTATGTCTGACGTTTTGTTATTTCGTACAGTAGCAAGTATCCGAAAAAAATTCGTAATAAAAGCTTAGTATTAAAAAAGAAATGATAAAATAATTGAAGAGAGACATATAAATATCATCTTGTTATTCGTTACGAACTTTCCAAACAATACTTATACATATGTATATGTATATATATAGTAAGACTAAAATGTTATACCAGGTTTGTCTTGCTCTCGATTTGCTCGACCCTTATAGTCTTGCCCTTTTAACCTATAAAAGGAGGTCCTTAAGGGCGCCGCCTACTTGTGGATGCGCCACGCGCATTTAATGCGGTTATGCTAATTTTTCCTTTCGCCGCGTTAACTATTTTTCGTTAATATTTAATTACTCGTTGAAATATTCCTATTGAAAAATGAATTTCATCATTATTGACATTCGCATTCGTGATTAATAATAGCATTTGGAGTGGCTGAAAAATAATGAAGAGATATTAAAACGGAAATTTTGAATGAAACATAAATAATAAAAAATTAATATATTCATGTTGATTTTTGCATTTGTAATAATTCATAACGTTTATGAGTGAATGGAAAATAATAAAGAGATATTATAATAGAACGTCTGGATCTAATGCAGATAATACAAGTATGGTCTCTTTAAAAATACTTTAAATGAAGCGCGTGATAAATGCTTTACGTCGAGACCTCAAACGTACTGTAATATTATACTATACGTACCATCTGTGTTTATTGCAACTGATGGGATATCTTTAAAAGACTCTAGCAAGATTTTAAATTACATCGTTGCTCGCGCCGTGGAAATCCCAGAAGTATTACCAGAGACGCATACATTTCATACATATATGGATACATATATGTGTGTCTCGCGATCCGTTATTACTCCGATAAAGAACAGCCTCTCTAGATAGATTTTACACATTTCTGTTGCAGATATTAAGCCGTCAAGTATACATATACACACACACACACATATATATATATATATATATAAATATATATATACCAGTAAAAGAAACAGAAAGTAAAATAAAATCGTACATGCGGATCAATATCGTTTCCTTGAAAAATTCACGCCCTCTTTTTATCTTTGACATTATCGTTTCCGGTACCATGGCGTAAAATGTAGAAAAGGTTGAAAATAAACAACCTTACGATAACTCTCACCAAGTATTATATAAATAAATCGGGTTTTCTTATGGGTACATACGGAACCAAAATATTATACGGCCCTGAGTAAATTGCTGACCCTCCAACGGGTCAGTGGGCGCCAATTCTACGACCCTCCTCCTTCTCCTCCTCCTCCTCCTCCTTCTTCTCCTTTCCTGGCAACCGCAATATGCTTTTGCTCGAACTATACACCTGCCTCTTAAACGTACGAAAAATCTAATAACTAATGGGATCTATATATGTCAAAAAAAGAGTAATCTCTAAATTTCATTGATTTCAATCCCAAAGTGTTTGTTTTACAAATGCGTTTATATAATCCTTACTTATCTAAAAATGAAATCTAATTTAGTTATTTATATACATAAATTAATAAAATATTTCAAAGTAAAATAAAATGATTTGGAATAAAATATTTATCTTACAATCCCTTTTGCCATACTTCTTCTTATTTTTCTTCTTCATTTTCTTTTACTTAATCTTCCTTCATACTTTTTCTATCCAAATACGAAAATGTGCTTATGTAATCCAAAATACGCGAACATGCTAGCGATGAAGCAGCAAATACCAAATGACAGATGTTGATCTTTCGAATAACCATTATCAGAGAGAAATCTGGTGCAGCTGGAGAACGTTTCTCTCTCTCCCTATTTCTGATACCGTGCCAAACGCTCGAACCTTCCACCGAATAATTACGAAAGGAATTCTATTTCATCTTTTTTTCTTTCTCCCTTGTTTCCTAGAAAAACGTTCAAAGGAGATCGTTAGCGGGAAGAAGCTTTTATTATTATTATTATTATTATTATTATTATTTTTTAAGTATTTTCTTCTTCCTCTTAGAGAGAAAAAAAATTGAATCAATTACCCAACATTTTCAATGTTCAGATAAGTGAAAATATTTAAATCAATGTGACATTTGTAAGATATTTTCTTTCCACCCCTCTGTAAAACGAAAACAATATAAATAAATAAGTGAATAAAAGGAATATACAAATTATATTATAATCTTATTTTCTTTTTATGCATTCAATAAATTCCAATAGTTTCAAATGGAACTCTGCATCAAGTACTGAATAAAAATAAACATAAAAAAAAAATAAAATAAAATAAATTAGTTTGCAGAAAAATAATATCTTATTGGTACCATTTTTAGACCATTCGATAAATTCCAATGATATAATAAAATATAACTACGCCGAGTGATGAATAAAATGAAATAAAAAGAAAAAAAAAATACAAATAGGAAATAGAAAAATTCTACGTTGGCCGCCATTTTCTATGCATTCAATACGACTGTAGAGTCAAATGCATCTGTATATACGTAAAGTAGTTGCATTTCGTAAGTTTATAGAAAGCATCATTAACGAGGAAGCAAAATTACGGTTTTGAGTTCGTCGTACGGAAGTTGCAGTATATTTTCTATTTATAGGCTGCACCTCCCTTTTATTTTTCTTTCTCCCTTTTTTTTCTGTGGAACGTGCGGCCCATTATTTGATATAGTTATAATCCGTTTAGTTAACCGAAGACGTCTGCGACCCTTTTCTTCTTTTTTCTATACGATTCTGTTGCATCGCAGCTTTTTATTTTTTTTATTTTTTCTTTCCCTTTCTTTTTCTTTACCTCCCTTTATATGTTATATATATATATATTTTTTGTCTATATACATGTATATATGCGTCGTTAATATTATATAAATCTCAAACCGCACATTTTTTTTTCATCTACAAGAAATGAAAGAGATTCTTCGGGTATGTTCGTATTCATTTGATTACTTTTCATTAAAATAATCCAAGGCTTTTTTCTTACTACCTAATTAGAGATATTTTTAAAATGATTTTAAGACAAATATAAATACATTATATTTATTTAATATTTAATTTATCTATTATTAATATTTTTGTTTTTTTTTTATTTATCTTTTTCTTTTTTTCTTTTATCAATCTTTTATCAAAATGTAGATTTTGGCCGTTGTTCATATATTTTTTATATATACAGGATGTATTCGTATTGGTAGAATAAAGAGGTGTAATGAAAGTGGAGTAGGAGGGTTGATTCTACATGTAAAAATAGATTGGAAAAAGGGAGTTACATTTTTTTTTAAATACGAAAATTTTTTGATGATAATATTAACATAATATTATATTATTTTGTAATTAAATTAATAACAATTAAACGTCATTTTTTTTCTGTTCTTGTTTATTCATAGGTGGTACTGAATTAACGTCCTTTTTTTAGGTTATATTATATAGATTATCACGAAACACAACTTAACAAACGAATAAAAAATAAATGACATTAAATATAACTAGGAATAATATTTATTTATTGATTTACCTATTTATTTATTTAACTTATCTTAATTTATTTTCTTTCTTTCTTTATCTATTAATTATATGTATAGATAATTTCTTTGAATTTGAAATTTTTGATTGTATTCATATTCCTATAAAATAAAAATAGTACAGTATTAATTGTTAACATTTAAATATTAATAATATTCTTTAATTTCTTTGAAACAATATTATAATGTAAAAATTAATAAATTATAGATAATAATTAATAATATTTACCGCGTATGCAAAACTGGAACGTCTCTCATACTTGTCAAAATTCAAATTGCAAAGTGCATATCGGGTAATTTCTTATATTAAATTCTACATTTTTATTGGTTGTCAAGATCTGCATTCTTATTGGATAAAAACGTTGCAATATTTATTACTGACCAATTAAAATTTGTGTTTTTTTACGTTGTTTTGATAACCTCAGATCATTTGTATTGTTACCATTGATGAAAATAATTCGAATGGCCGGTAAATCTGTTCTGACATTACTGATGATTTTTAGTTTATTAAGAAATTTTTATGTTTATGGTAATAAAACAATGAGTAATTATTCGGGAATACATTCTGTCGCATATGTCACCGTTCCAACTGTAGAAGTGGCTAAAAAATTGGCACAGTAAGATTATTTTATCAAATTTAAAAAATTACCTTCATATGTTTATGATTAAAAATAAAATGATATTTAAATTAATACAACAATATTTTTTTTCATTTGTGTCGTCCACAGTGATATAGTAAAGAATAAATTGGCTGCTTGTGTTAATATTATTCCTCAAGTTATTTCAGTGTAAGCATTTATAAAATAAAATATTTATATTTACGTTGGTGCATAATATATATTTTGTATCTGTAAAAATGGAGATTTAATTTGTATTAATTAATTATACATATATAGGTATGAATGGGAAAATAAAATAAATGAAGATCCGGAACTTTTAATGGTAAGAATAATCAATAAATATTAGTAAATAAAAATATACTGTATATTATATTTTACTAATGATTATATGCAGATGATAAAAACGAGGACAGATACAGTTGATGCTTTAACAGATTATGTTAAGTAAGTTAAATATTATGTAGCTTTAATGTAACATAGAAAAAAAAATCAATTAATCTGTTTTTTTTTCTTTCTTTTATATAGGAAAAACCATCCTTACACAGTATGTGAAGTAATTTCTTTACCTGTAAGTAAAATTTATCCAATCTTACTTTTATTCATTGATTGTTTTACTTTATATAAATAAATATTCATTTTTTTTTTATACATAAAATAAAATCCATAAATGTATTTTTTTAATACAAAATTTAATTTTCAGATACAAAATGGTAATGAACAATACCTAAAATGGATCAGTGATACAGTACCACCTATGAATAAACAAGAACAGAAAGATGATGTTTAATTGTTATTAATGTAATTACAAAATAATATAATATTATCTTATATGAGATTATATATGAAACATAATAAATATATAAATAAATAAAAATCAATCATTATTATTATTATTATTATTATTATTATTATTATTATTGTAAAAATTATTTAATACAATGAGAAAATATTTGACTATGGAATGATTCATTTTTATTGTCTAATAATAAATATTGTAATAAAATAATGTTAAAACTATTGGATTGGCATTGATGATTCTTATAATAATTTCTATATGAATATACTAATATAACAAAAACCAAAAAATAAATACAACATCAATATCGATTATCTTCTTATATCAATAAAAATTGTCTTATGTTAATAATATTAATTTAAATTTGCTTATAAAGTAGTTTCACTACCAATCATTTAATTAAATGGTAGAAATAATTTGTAAGTAAAACATTTCTAGAATCTCAATTTATTTTTATACTATGTAGTTCCAACTTTTCTTTTTCTTTTTTTCTTTGTTTTAGTTCTATAAGGCACACACATTTTAAATAGTTCATATTCAACATTCATGAACAATTAATTCATATTCAATAAAATTTATTTAATTATTATTTCCTAACAAATTAATTTTGTATTAAATCAATAACATTTTTATATATACTTTAACAGCCTTTTAATAATTGTGTGATGCCAAATATATGTCACTATTAAATATGTAATTGTCAAAAATTTTACTTCTTCAACATATTTCAATCTTTTATGGTATGCGTAATTATATTTTTAATATGATATACACTATTATTTTATAGTGTATAATCAACTCAAATAATAATATAAAAATTATTTTGTGTCCTATTATCTCATCAAGTAAAATTTTGTTGTATCTTCGGATCCACATAATACGTTAGTATATTCTATGGTATGTAAAAGCAACAAATTGAATTAATTATATCTATGATTTATATGTTTCATTATATTTACTATGCTATCTGCCAGCATTATAACCTGGGTAAAGCAGTAACAATGCAGAAGCTAAAGACTCATTAACATCCATTTTAAAATCTTTCTCCATATTATGACGACACGATGGACAATAATGAACTCCAGATGAAAAGCTTCGTTTTAAACAAGTAAAACAAATACTATGAGCACAAGGTGTAGTTACAGGATTATTAACTACTTCTAAACAACAAACACAAGTAAATCTGTAAAGAAAAGAAAACCCGTATTTGATGAATGAATTTTACTTTTATCAAAGCGTATTTTGTAATACAAACCTTTCTGAAACTCGTTGTAGAAAAGCAGTCTTTCCATTTGGTAAAGCTAAACGACATTCATTCCAAATTTTGGCATTAGCAGTATCTTCGTCTATGAACTTTATAAGTTCAGTGTCCAATTTATAAATTTCACATTTTTGTTTCTTTTTGGTATGTACAATCTCCTTAGAGCTTGGTAATTCTTCATCTTCCAATTCAATAGCACGTTTTTTACTTGGTCGACTCTTTTTCATTGCTTCTAAGTAACCATCTGGATATAATGGTTTTAAACCAAGTGATTTTATTCTTGATTTACCTTCCCGAGTCCATGGAGCAGGAGCAGGATCATCCCTACGTAATAAGTATCTCCATACGCGAAAACCACTTTTACCCGTATCTGGATAATATTTGACCACCTTATATATACCATCATATCTATTATCAAAATAATAATCATTATATATAAATTTATATAATATATATTAAAAAATATAAATAAAAAGAAATAAAATAGAATTAGACAGATCAAGAAGATATTGTACATACCTGTTACCTTCTTTTGGTGCGTATTTACTATGCTTTGCAAGTTTAAAATTACGTACAACTCTTACAGGGATACCGCCTTTCCAATCCTCAGCTGTAGCTCCATTTACTGGATCAAGTTTAGCATTACAATTTAGTGCTAAAGCTTTATTCATCCTTGTTAATGTTTGATCACAACTTTGTTCGGCAGTTCTTTTATTTCCTGCAATTATTATAGAAAATAATCAAAAATACATGTTTATGTATACAAATTATCAGTATAATGAAATTTACAGAATTTCTTTATACCAGATAAATCCCTGCCTCCAGAACCAGTATACATAAATTCATCTCCATTATCGATATCATCTTCGTATCCCCCAGATAAGACAATGGAATATGCACAATCAGTTTCACGACCATGTATTCCAGCTATATGAGGCCTGTGTACACCAACTTCGGAGACCTTCAATAAAAAGATTAGAATATATATATATATTATGCGCATACACTTAAACACATGTGTGGATATATATTATGTACCTGAACTCTATATATCCAACATGTACCAACTTCTACACCTGGTATAGGACCTCGATGATTTGGTGGGACTAAGCTACATTCTTTCGTTCTACCTACACAAGCCATTCCTTTTCCCCAATCCCTTTTATTACTACTTTCATTGGTATTAGTTTTCTTCTTGGGCTGCTTCAATTTATCTCCTGCCTTAAATAAATTCAATAATGTAATATTAAAATATTAAAAATTGCTTTTAAAAAGAATTGATATACATATATATAAGAATAATCACCTACTTTAACAATTTCATTTTCATCATTTTTACATTCAGGACAGTACCAATAATCTTCTTCTGGTATTGATGTTAAAGGTGGATTTAAACAACGTAAATGAAATGCAAAATTGCATTCATCACAAAGTAATAAGTTATGTTCATCTTCTTTACCACTACAAATTCTACATCCACATTCTTTACAATCTTTATCAGGATTATCCATACAAATAGAGCACGAAGCCATTATGCATCTTCGTTTACCATTACTTTTCATATGTTCTTCATCTTCTGGTGTTCTTTCAGATAAAAGTTTTGGATGTTCTATGGCATATACACCATTTTTGAGATTTATTTTACGGCCTTCCAGTTGATTGTCTCTATACGTATAAAGATAGATATATGTGTATTAATATAGATTTAAAAAATATAACATGTGAATAAAAATAATCGAGAAATTACCTGCCGATGTGTAAAGTTCCAATTAACTCTTGTGATTTTCTTTTCTTCTCAATTTTTGAAACTGTAAAATCATACCAAAGTCCTACTTCTTTGGGCTCGTCAACATTATGATTAACCATTACTTTTTCACCTGTCTTCAATTTTTCAACAGATATCAATTTTCTAGCACGTGGCCTAACAGATGCTTCAGGTACGTTAAACGTAGGCGCATGATTATCAAATTCCCATTGCATATTATAAATAATTTTATCTTCTTTTTTAAATATTTTTTTTATAATTGCTTCAAACCAAGCTCCATGTTGTTGATCAAGACAATCAACAGCATCTCCTGTTTTATAATATAAACTTTCAGTTTCTTCTAAATTTACATCTTCAGTAACTTCTCCTTCATTATTTTCTTTTATTCCTTTATTGTTATTCTTTTTATTATTGTCTTTGTTATTTTTATTATCTGCATTATCTTGTTTCATTTTTACCATTAGCTGTATAACATCATTTAAATTAACACTATAATCGTATAATTTATAACCATTTTCTAATTGTTTGCCACGAAAGAACAATCTTTGCATATCAACTTCTATTGATAACTCCTTTTCTATTTGATGCTAAAAATATGAAAATAATTCTTTTAATTTTACAACATATTCTACATGCGTGTTTGTGCATATATATGTATTAAAAAATTAATATAAAAAATATATATATTCTCTACAGAACAGTATAACCAAACTATTATAGATCTAGTACAAAATTAGTACAGATATATTAAATTATCATTCATAAAAGTTCAAAATAAAAATTGTCAACATAAGATAAAAATTATTTTGTAACCTCATAGACTAAGAGTATGAAATTATTACATACAAAATATTAATTAAATTGTCATTCATTGTAATAATTTGAAAAATCATACCTTAAAATCCTCAACCTGGGTTAACTTAGAAATCGTTAATATCACCTCCTGTTTACCATCCATTGTTCTTACTTTCACATACATTTTGATAAACTTAGTTTTAACCTCTTTACAATATAATGATTACAATTAACGATTCTCTAATTTAAACAAATAAGTTGAATTAATCAACATTCACTTGTTTTAACTTCAATGAGATAAACTCTATTCTTAAGAGCACAACAATAATCATATCTCAATTATTCACTACTGTCAGTAAACTCACCACTCGTTAGCGTTTGGGCAACTACGTTTGGCGGGAAATCATAGTTGCAATGTATGAAAAGATAGTCACGTGATAATTTTATGCCTAGTATAGGTTAGAAAAAAGGTGTATTTCCATTACTAAATATAAACAATGTTAAAGCTGTTTTCAATATATTACAATCAGGTGAATACAATTTTTGTAACTTAAAATAACCTAAATATTAACTTATATATATGTTAATATTTTAATCAAATTAATTTGATTACATATTATATATATATATATATATATATATATATATATATATTTACCTTATATCTTACAACAAACTATGTGTACGTATCTTTGTGTTATATGCAATCAGTTTGTAAATACACGAATGATATATATATATATATATATATATATATCACATATTAAGAAATTAAATAAATAGTATAAGATATGTTAATGCGCACGCGTGATAATATTCTCATAACATAATAAATACATAGCAATAAAACGATATTGACTCGTTAGATGCCTCTTAATGTATAATTTTTCATGATATTTTTTAGCAGATTAAAAATATATTACTATATTTACAGAAAAATTACTGAATAAATGATGGTCAGATATTTGATTTTAATGTAATTAAAAAATGAGTAATTATATGATAGTAAGATACAATCCAGAGTATTGAAAGAAAACTATAATATATATATACATATATATATCATATATCGTTTGTTCTCTCTGATGAACATCTGAAGAAAATGGCCGCTACTACGCATCATTCTAGAACAAGATCGAGATGAAATATCCAGTAGATGGCGCATTATTAACCGGAACAACATAGTTTCGAATTCAAGGCAAGAAAAATAACATAAATAATAATAATAAGTGTATAATTATTAAAAAGATAATAATCATGTAAGAAAGATCAGTGAAATTTGTATAATACATATTGATAAATAATAAAATTGTGTAGTACATTTGACCAGTGAGTATTTTCGAGCGATACTGTGGCCATGTTTGTTTAGTTTCGAGGGGATGAAAAGTGAACAAGAACGAAGCTTTTGAATGGGACTCGCGGGGGAGTGGATACATCTTTAATTAGTCAAAGTTTGACGTGCGCGTGCTGATGAATTAAAGAATATGGTAAGCAGTGAAATATTTCAATTCTATTTAGCGTAATTCCTCAAGGTCGTAAGATTTTCGCGGGAAATTTTTGGGTGATAGTTTCGTTTAGTAGTAACGCCGCTAACGCCGACGCCGATGCCGCGGCGTAGTATTGCACTTTCAAACTTTCGATCGATTCGTATGTAGCCAAGATGAGTTCGTTAAGGGCGATGACCGACAAAAATGTCTTCTTTATTAAATGTCATTTAGATTTGTTTGTCAAAAAATTCTACCTACTAATAGGTATAGATAATCTCGATTTAATTGATGGGAACGTTATCTTGCATCACACCGCATACAAATCGATATATGCCTTAACATGAATATGTACTCTTAATTGTATGTATATGTCAACATACACATTTGAATGTTATCTATATATACATGTATATCTACATATGTATTATACATATCATCATAGTATATATGTATATATAGGTGTGTGCATACGCGCGACAAAATTCCACAGAACTTGGACGCTTCTTTTTTCGAACAATCGAACTTGTTTCCCGCGCAATTTCTAATCGATACAAACATAATAAACAAACGAAAAGTATATAGTGTTAATTGATATGCTTGATTAATTAAAAAGTGTTTGATAAACGAATTTTAAAATTTATTTGTTCCTCATGTGAACGACGGTTATTATTTTATATCGTTTAGAAACTTCGGCGGGATACGACAAATTTCAACAGACTCTTTGACACACACACACAACAGTAAGATAATTCATTAAAATTAAACAACGATAACACGAACGAAAATATGATTATTATTTTCTATTTTCAACGCAACTAAATATTACGAAAAAAAAAAAAAATTAATCAAAAGTATGTGCAATTAACAAATTTCTTATTTAAAATAATCTTTTATTTTCCTTTTTTTTTTCTTCTTTCGATATAAAAATTAAAAGAACTTTTTGTATTTTGTACAGTGATCAAGCGCGTGTATTGTCAAGTTTTAAAAGAAGTTGTTAAAATGTATATTTAACATTAATGAAGAACTTCATGGGTGGTTAATAAAACATTGCTATTATCCAGAATGTTCTTGCTTGAGGCATTCTCTTTACTGATGTATAAAGCTGTTTGCTAAAGATAGCATACTCCTGAATCAGTAATCGTACATGTAACCAGATGAATATTTTTAGTCAAAGCTTGTTTGCTGATTTGGTGCATGAATTAGATTTATAAAAAGCAGAGTAAGGATAACTGCTTGAATTTAGTTAATATTTTATAATTATTGATAACATAAAGTATAAGAAATATTAATAATTATTAATGATTTTAATATCAAACTTTTAAGTATAATAAATAATAAAGTGTATTATTTATTTTAGGACATTTAATTTTTCTTTTGAAATGTGGTTAAGAAGTGAACATGTGAGTAGAAGACTGCGTGGCCGTTTATACATAAGCGGTGGGTTAAGAAGCAAAACGTCTATTGGCAGAACGCAAACAGCATCTCCACGGAAAGTACCATTCATCTCTAGCAGTAATCATCGCATAAATACTTTACGCAAATGCAGCAGATTAACTCGGTGGAGACTTAGATCTCCAAATTTTATAAAAGAGGTAAGTATGAAATTATTACATTAAAGATAATTTAGTTTAAAATATATGTGTAGTCACTTTACAATCTATACATTAAAGTATCAATTCTTAATATTTATCATTTCAATTTTAAAACACACATTATTATCTTCATCTGTTTATCACAAATGATCTTTGCAGGTCATTTATTCTTCACTATTTATTAACTCACAATTACTAACTAACCAACACTTAATGGTTAATGATTAATGAGTGACTGACAGATAGACAAGAATGTTAAATAATTAAAAACATTCTTTCTCGCTGAAACAAATAAAGAAAAACAAATTACTTAAGAAAGAATTGAAGCCGTTTGGTTAATACGCGGATTAATAGTCTGTATTCTCAAACAAGATTATTATCTTCGTAGGCTTGTAAAGAAAATGTTTTACATTTTGCCAAAACCTCGCCTAGTAGACGTGAGAGGGGCCCTCGTAGAAGAAAATGTATAAAACGGTCCATGGTCACATCAACTCCTCTACATCGCACTACACAGAAGGATATTATTCTAGTAAGTTTACAACGAGGAAAACATTTTTTTTTTATTGTTTCTTTCTATTTTGATGATTTACTTTACTTTTCTGTCTTAAATTTGCTTTTATCGATAACATAGAATTACATGTTCTTTTTTTGTAGCCACCTAAAGAAACAGTAGAATCTAAAATTTGTGAAGAATCCAAAGAGAACTGGAACATAGCGATTTTGTCACTTCATTCATCAAGTTCAAATACAGATTTATTTTCTGCACCAACACCATCACAGGATTTTAAATTTTCACCCGCAGGAACATCATCATTGATTGATCTAATGCCTCCAGCATCTCATTTAGGATCTCATTTAGACCTTACATATTTTCTTGATGACGAAGGAAATAGAAATACAGGTGCAATGACTGACTATGCATTTATATTATAATTCATTTTTGAATTTTATAATGTGTATATATATATATATATATATGTAAATTTAAATCTTCTTAATAATGTTATATTTTGCAGATATTCTGTCACTACATTACTCCGCACTTTCTTTATCAAATGAAATATCTGATGAAAATTATAGCTTAATGAACTCAACATCAATGTATAGCACTCGCACTACATATTCATCGGAGAAATATTTTGGAAGTGGAAAATATCCTTATATCAATAACAATGAGAACAATAGTAGTATATCAAAAAGTCAATATACCATTGAAAATAATTCATTCAAATATGAAGGAACTGTGGATTTTTCCACTCCAAAATATAATACTTCTGCAAATGTATATGATATAGATGGTCATCATCCTTCTGATACTAATGGTAACATTAATATGAAATATGATGCTGAAGATATTGACAGCGAATATCATGACGCCGAATATATGGAAGTTGGTAGCGAAGAGATAGTAGAAACTTGTGATGTCGAAAATATGGTTACTCAAGTACAAGAAGAATGGGAGCCATTTGATCCATATGTTTTTATTAAACATTTACCACCTTTGACACCAGCAATGAGAGCCAGATGTCCGGCTTTACCTCTTAAAACACGAAGTAGTCCAGAATTTAGTTTAGTATTAGATTTGGTATGTAATACCTTTGTTTTACAGATAAACAGCTGTTTAATTATAATAATCAATTTTTCTTTATTGTAGGATGAAACTCTCGTACATTGTAGTTTGCAAGAGTTATCTGATGCAGCGTTTCAATTCCCAGTAGTTTTTCAAGATATAACATACACAGTGTTTGTTAGAACAAGACCATTTTTTCGTGAATTTTTGGAACACGTTTCATCGCTATATGAAGTAATACTCTTTACTGCCAGTAAACGAGTATACGCAAACAAATTAATGAACCTTTTGGACCCAACAAGAAAATTAATTAAATATCGCTTATTCAGAGAACATTGTGTATGTGTTAATGGAAATTATATTAAAGATTTATCTATACTTGGAAGAGATTTATCAAAAACTGTGATCATCGATAATAGCCCTCAAGCATTTGGATATCAAGTAAGTTTTATTTTCTTTCTAACATCATCTTCAAATTTATATTAATTAAATTTTTTTTTTTATTTTTTTTTTTTATACAGTTAGAAAATGGCATCCCTATAGAAAGCTGGTTTGCTGACCGTTCAGATAATGAACTAATGAAGTTATTACCATTTTTAGAAAATTTAGTTAATTGGGTATGTTATATTTTATTATTGTGAATATATGTAAGAAATAAAACTTATATCCTTCTTTTTATATATAGGGTGGAGATGTTAGACCACACATTAGAGAACAATTTCGATTGTTCAGTTTTTTACCACCAGATTAATTAAGGTACCATATTAAAATTTAGTACTGGCTGAAATATAGGATTAAAAAAAAATAATAATAAATCCTATTATCACAGTCATCAGATGTGCGTGAAAGCATGTGTGCAATGTGTATATCCGTGGTGAAAAAAAAAGCAAACGATAATTCTATACGCGTATATCACATTACGCGTGTAACGTTATATTCAATGCAATGTCTTAAGAGAGTGTGCCTGATGAAGAATAGAACGAAATTCATAGACCTTAAAGGTCTATAAACATTATTTGTTGTTTAAAGGATAATTGTTTCTCTAATGGAAGGAACACTTTACAAAAAAAGTTTATTGATATTTCACTAATTATCTTTATCCATAAATATAACAAATATTAGTGAACGACATTGAACAGTTTCATGCAATCTTAAGAGATAGTTCATACTTTCCAGTTCCATAATGGAATCACTTTCGAATGTCTACCGTTACATAGTAATACAAATACAACATAAATTTAAGAATATCTTCGAAGATTTCATGTTGCACCAGGATTACAAATTTCTTTATATATCAGATCTATGTTCTCTAATAATTTAGTGGTATCACAATATTAGCATTACTAATTACGATCATATGTAATGCATATTTACAAATTATTTTTGTTTTATTCTTTTTTTGAAATTTTATTTTTTTAAATTTTATTTCATTTTCTTTGATTTTATTTCATTTTATTTTATTTTGAATTATATTTGAATATGCCTAACAATATCATAAATAATATTTAATACTTTATCTATATACAATATATAAATATATATAAATATATAATTCATTAATTTTCTACATTATTTATAAAATTAGTTCCTTTCAGTAATAGTATTTCATATAACAATAGTTTTTATAAATAATGCATTTTTATTTAAGTCCAATGAATTTCTGAAAACAATTATTTTATTTTTTCAAAGAACTATGCATTTCTTTTTATTCTTTTTATATTATAAAATATGATATTCCACATATAAAATATTTCCTAAAAGTATGATATAATTATTGTTGCGTCAATTTGTTTTGTTCATTATGTATTCTTGTTATTCTAGTAAATCATATAATTTATTAAAGTTAGTAATGAGTAATAATTATACAGAATATAATTCGAAAATATATTTATGAATATGGGGGGAAAAGAGAACATAATAATAATTATCAAATTGTTTTCTTTTTCCGAGAGAAAATAATATAAATTATATTGGTTATAATTAATATTTAATAATATTGCTATAAAAAAAGACAATGAAAATAAGAAAAATGATACTTGAAAAGTTTGAAATGTTATAATCTTTTTCTAATAATATGCCAACTCTCTTTTCTCCTTCATTCCCGTTCTTGAATTAATGGCATTGCAACAATGAATAAATAGCGTCATTTATTTTTCACATACATATACTTTTCATAGTAAATACAAGAACACTTTGTTTAGAAGCATATAAACATAGACGAATAAATCTCCAAACATTTTCTGACTTCCAAATATACATACAATTATACTTATTTTCATTGCATTTAACTTCTAAGTACATTTTAAGTATATACTTATAATTACAATAGATGCAGATGAATTTGCAATAAACATGCAAAATGGTGGGAGTAAAAATTATAGAGTACAATATTCAGAGACGAATAATGAGCTATCAAATATGTACCTTAAGTACAAAATGTTAATTATATTACAAATATTTGGCAGTAGAGTTGTTTAAAGATGAGAGTAATTCGTATTCACAAATTTAGTAAAAGCTTTTATGGGAACATTTTGAAATAGTTTTACTATAAATGTATTTTATTAAGCTTAAGTCATTATGGTAAATCATTGTTATTTCAATAAAGGACAAAATATCAACTTGGAGACTATTTGCTTATAAATATATAGAAAAGTGACATACTCATCATAGTTACATGAAAAATATGATCTCAATCTGATAATGATTAATAAAATGAAAAATCTTTGGTTAATTACATTGTTACTATAAAGTATTATAGCCTGAAGATTGTTTGAATACATTATGGATAAGAATATATTAGTAATTATATAATTATATGTATGTGTGTGTGTAATATAATTATATAATTATACACGATAGGTAAATGCAGGTTTATAAAATCATATGTAATTTATAATCTGTATCAAAAAAAAAAAAAAAAAAAAACCACACGCACATGGTTTGCATCAAATTTTAAATTGCATCACAATTTTCAATCACATTATTATAATATATGCTTACCATATGCATTTATTAACATCTCATATACATCAAAAGTTTATATATTCTTTCATTATCAACTGTTGCATATTTTTTGAGTTATTCTATACAAAACATGTATACCAATATTAACTACCTGTAAAACAGTACATTCAACCAGTAATGTTAGAAAATAATTGTGAGAATCTTTAATGCTAATAATAAAATTTTAGAAAATGTCATACTCCAATAATCATGATATATGAATTGATTTTTACAAAACCTTGATTTTCTCTTTTAAACATATATTTTATTTATATATATATATATATATATATATATATATATTTCTTTTTTTTTTTACTTTTCATCAAGAATAAAGAAATGTTGTGTGTGTTAGAATTGTTTATTATCTTGTGTTTTTGCAATAGTTTAATCCAAATGACAAGGTCTCATTCGAAAGATAAAAGATAAATACACAAAATTACTTTCTTCGATTGTTTGAAAAAATATTATCTTTTTTTTTAAACAATATTTGTTTTTTTCTTTTGCAAAAAATGTTTTATCAATTCTTTCTAACATGTCATTTATTTTGACATTATTTTAATTATTAAATAGCACAAAATATATTTTACTCATTGTGCTAGATTAATTATACAATCATTATTATTCTAATAAAATAATAATAAATACATATAATATTGAACATAAGTTGATATTTTTATTATATTTTTTATATTCAATGTCATTGTACACCATCATGGTTTATTTAACATAACATTTCTTTACAATATCTGATTCTAACAAATTTAATAATATATGTTCATGTGTGCATTTGGAAAAAAGTCAGATATAAATGACATCAACATTTAAAACAACATATAACAACTATCTATAAGAATAACAGAAACGCTGGACACAAGAAACATGTATCTAATGATAAATAAATGTTAACTATTATACATGTTTACTATACAGGTAAGTGACACAAATATTAAATGTACACAATTTTTATTTGTAAAATGTTCCCAAAATAGTAAGCTCCATAGAAAATCAATAAAGTCGTGTAAAAGATACAAACATTTCAACATACTTTGCAGAAAAATATTATTGTAAGATATTAATTATATTGTCTCGTTTTAAATAATAATTCATTATTGTTAATATTATTTCAAATTCTTTTATCTTTATTATTAAATCTTTAAGAAATAAAAAAGGAAACAGTAATACGTAACATATATTTACTAATGTCGGTATTTGATAATAATTAAAATAATTATAATATACCAGATTAAAGAATTTGATATAATAAATATAATATTATTTATAAAAATCATTAATTTTTACATATTATGAAAGAATATATATTAAAGTTTTATTATGATTATAATTTAAATATTATCATATATTACTTATACATGATTCTAAACGTCAAATGATTTATAATAAAATTGACTAGAAAAATATCAAATAAATTTGTTAAATAAATTGTTAAAAAAAGATCTTTATATCCAAAAAGAATTATATTACTCTGTTCTATTATTTAAAAACATGCTTAAAAACAGATGCATATTGTATTTCAACTAAAAACATAATATTAGCAAGCACAATACATATACAACTTTAAATAGTAATTACCTGTCCTTTATCAATAATTGCATTGAGATTAATAAAAAAGTATATATTTTAAAAAGAAAGCTTAAAAAATATGAGATTAAACAAATTTTCTGTATAAAATTATAAGCGTTATATATGATATAAATGATATATACTTAATATCGGTACAAGTAGCATGAACATTATACACAGATATATAAAAAATAACTCTTTCATCTTTTTAATACGAGAACAGAGTATTATTACCATAATCAATGTTTTAATAATAACTAAACAAAAAAACAAAAATAAAGAAAAAACTTTTCGCCGAGCAATAAAAACACCTTGTATAAGTTTTATATTATACTCTTGCAATAATTATAATTCTCCTTAGATGTGTCACTTATCTCTCGCCTCCAACGTTTTGTTAATCTATTAGACTGATAATGTTTGTAGAGGGAATAATGCTGAAAAATGTTATATTTGTTATAAACTATCTATTAACTAAATATTATTCTACATTCAACACTAACATGTCACTAATAATATATATTCAGCTATCTTGTTAACAATTACAATACGTGATTCATCACACTATCTTTTAACTCGAACTTCAAGTATATTGATGTTAATATCTTTTTCGATTGTATTTGGATTCTTTTTAACATTTTATTGATGTAATAATAAATGAATCCATAAATGGATATTCATTATATATAAACGAATGTATTTATTGTATATTGCAAACATTTCTACTGATATTTTCATCTTTAGTAGCATCCGTTGCATAACATAGGAACTTTATTGTGCTATAATCAGTATAACTCAATTCAATATACTTGCAGTTCGAGTGTAGCCTTATCTAATCATCCGAACGTTGAAAATACCTATTCTCGATGCGTTTGCAGAGATTCACAAGCGATGGAAAATTCTTAACAATATTCGCTAGTACGTTGTTTGGAAGAGGTGTTGTAATAATCGTAAATATGTGCCCAAAAACTAGGGCATCCAATTCGTTTGGATTTCTAAATAATTAATAATAATTATTATTAATATTATTATAGAAATAATAATGAAGAATATTAGTAATATTATGAATATTATAATTAATAAATAAAATCTATAAAGACGTGTTGGATTTTAATAATACGTATATTTCAATGCAAAACTTTCATGTATTATTTCGCGAAAGATAATTTATATATATAAATGAACAATATTCATAGAATGAATGAATCTTCTGATAATGAAGGAAGAGATTCAAGAGAAGCTAAGCTATACAACAAAGAATCTTCTGATGGTTTTTCTATTATTTCAAAGTCCTTTATAAGAGAATCATTTTCTGGTGTATCTTCTTTCTTTTCGTTAAAGTAAATATTATTGATTTCATAAGTATGTTTCATAAGTCCAGGAAAGGAATGAATAATTATGGAAATTTCTTGAGTGGATGGAAAGAAATGGAATTTAGAAAGGGCTTTTATATGACCGTATACCAGAGCGTCAAATTCTGTGGGTCTTAAAAGTTACATTTGAATATTATAATTCTGTTACTTTTAGTACGTATAAAAATGAAAGTGAAATTATATGTTTAGTGTATAATATATTAAAACTACTTACTCGTTACCAAAAAAGAAGTTTCTTTCATTCAATCTTTCCGATAATATCACACAACAGTTTTTAACTTCATCAGCGACTTCTTTCAAAGTTTTATTATACCAACCAAGTACATTGAGCCTTTTTATAACTTGCTTTCTCTTTTGCCAATTTAAATAATGATTAAGGGGCCAAGGATAAGCACTTCCATGTCTTTGTTTAGTTACTTCTTCTAACGTCGTTGAATCAACCCAACAAATGTAAAGTTCTGCATTAACAAAAACATTGTTGACTAATGAAATATAAGCTTTCATATCTGATTTATCTTCAGGTTTTAAATGATTGGATAAACTTGTTCCTTTGTTAGAAATAAACGACACTATATTGTCAAACTCAGATAATACAAATGCACCGCATTTAATGAAAGGTAAAGAACCGGTTGGTGACATATACTCGGCATCCCTTTTTGATATTATTTCAAACTCCAAATTACACATTTTGAGAAAAGCTTGGACAGCAAGACAATTAGCATTGTCTGGCAATAATATTTGTTCTACTTCAAATGGTTGATACAATTGTATCATTTGAGGCCATGGTTCCTGAGCTGTAAAAATACATCAAATATAAATACTTTATCAATAAATAATATTACAAATTATTAACAACATAAAATATTTCAATCAAAAGTTATTAAAAAACATAAACAAGWAGAAAACAGAGACTAATTTCTTATAAGAAATATACAATTTATAAATGGGTCATTAGTAAAATAAAGTGAGGTTAGATTTTAATAATTTAACTGATAATTAATAAATAAMAGTCTAATAAAATGATTTGAATAAAAATTACCTCCAAGCTCTAAAGTAATTGCATCTGCTGTTAATTCACCAGGCATGTTAAAGTWAAATATAATTAATTTATTAGAATAAWACTTTATATTAATTTGCTTATGAACCAAGTAACAGAACCTCACAAAACATACAGAGATCTAATGTAAGTACCAAAACAGAAAAATATTCAACTAATTTCAATACATTTTATTGATAAAAAAAAACTTAAACAAAGTTTTTTAWTAATTAAAAAATGAATAATGTTAAGTTTTAATATCCTATTATTTAATAATATATGTATATCACATAAAGTATTATAAGTAAGATGTGTGTGTGGAAATCACTTTTTCACTCGAATTTCGATAATAAATTGAATCGATATTTAAGAATAATCATGTTCAAAMAAATATTTTTAAAWTAATTAATAATAATAATATAAATGAATAAAATAGTAATTTTTTATTTATCAATGTATTTCTTTTTATTTACTAACCATCATTGTTAATTTTTGTTTTACCATAAATTATAGTACCAAARGAAGTATCCATCAAAGAATAATTTGAAAATTGTARATACAATTGTCTCACATCAAATATAAATAATGTCTAACATTAATACTTTGTTTTTAATTTGAATAGTATTGATTTTAGAAATATTTGTATTTGTAAAAGTTTTTTTTTTTGTCTTTAAATGATATTGCTAAAATGCATCAGATATACACATAAAACATATTATTAATTATTTATATCCAAAAATTATTTATACTGTCTTTATAAATAATTTTTATTCTTTAAATTTTTACTTATTTAATATCACTAGTTATAACAAAATTTAAATTTAAAAATCGGAACTAAYTACGTTAGTAAAAAATTTGTTTTTCCATTTTCTTTATCACAATTACGAGTRTGCATGGTAACATCGATAATGTTATCATTAACAACAATTAATAGTAAAATAATTCGAAGACATAATAAAGGAGAATAATAATGACATTTGCATTGATGATTCGAATTATTTTTTGTTAAYTTATTTAATATYGTTTCTTAATACCATACAATAAAAAACAAATATAACCTTAACAATATAACATATCAAGTTCTTAGTTTTCTTCAAATGTTACAAATATTTGTAAAAAATTAATTAAGTGTAAAAATATCTTTGTTAATATATACATAAATGTATATTTCATATATCTATGATTTAATAAAAAAAAACCTTCAGCTTTTCAGTAAAAAGTAAGTTAATTTGTTAGTATTCTTTCTGTAACATTTTTACATTCCAAATTTAATAGATRATGTTGCAATGAATTCATATTGATTTCTTGCTATTATACTAATAATTTGAAGTAGGTTCCATCATTGAAATCGTTTCTTGCAAAAGCCTTGTGTAGTTCTACGACTGCCTGGAGGACATGGTTCCGTTTTATTTATTAGAGGAGCTCCAATTATTGTTAGAGGAGCTCCAATTATTGTAAGAGGTGCAATTCCGAATCTTTCACATTCCAGTTGAAAAGTAAATTCATTGATGCCTAGCACATCAGGTTCGCAAGGACCACCCTTTATTTTAAGAGGATAACAGATATTATTGTATTTAACTAAACCATCTTGTAAACATGGATTTATAACACATTGTGCAGTTGATTCTCCTTGAGGAAGAGCAATGTAATAATTCGGAGGACAGGGTCCTTGGCTATAAGCTTCATAACAAGAATCATTTGAAAGAAGATATAAGTATCTTGGCACACAATCGCACACAGAAACATTAGTTCCTTGAATAGGATAAAGATACATATTTTCAGGACAATTATGCGGTGTTGATCCACTTACTTCCTCTTCTACCTGAATACAAAAATAATACATTCTTTCACTTCAYAATATAATTAATTTATTTTTATAAAGTATATCATCTTTATAGTATAGTTACATACTGTTGATTTATCTTTATATGCATTATAATCATCTGGAAATACAACTTYTTGACATAAACTAATACCAATGTATATTAAAAATACACTGCTAAACAATATTAACTTCATTTTAAATAAAACTCTATTATTTTATACGTCTGTTTAATGCAACTACGTTTTCCTACTCAATGTCCTTCAATGTCCTTCAAAAATTGCAAATTATTAAATTATGCTGGATATACAAAGTCCRTTTATAGAAGATACACTAGCGCTACTTCTTTAATCATTTTTATTTTTTATGGACATTTATCGATAGAATTGATTAAGTTTGATYAGGTCATTTTAATCCTGTTTCATTCAATAAATACTTGCAATATAAATATTAGAATGAATATTAATCTACATACATATCCCAGTGAACACACCAATGTAACCGAGACATCACATTAACAGAACGAAAAACTTTAGGTTAGGTAAACCGTAAATAACATACGGGTCACATGTGAGTCACATGTTATATGTGACACAATAAATTATATTTCGTACATTGAAAAAAAAGTAACGAAAGTAAAAACGATAAMATTAGGAATTTCAAATTTTTTTCCCTGAAAATATTTATACTTTTTTTTTTTTTATAACAAAGGTATATTTATTTTTAGCGGAAATATTTCTAACTCACAATTTTTTAATTTTTACTTTTGTTGCACTTTTTTCAATCTAAWAAATATAATATACTGGAGAATTTAAAATTAAGGGCACACAAAAAACATGGTTATAWAATATATGTTATTACAATTTATATTAAAATTTGTATTTTACCTAYAAAATAGAACAATTTTTTTTTCAATTATAAATAAAAATTATAAAATTTTTTTTTAAATAAATCTTAGCATCTTTGCATTCTTTAATTTCATCCGACAGGTGCACCACCAGCAGGAGACTTATGAAGTTWACGCTTATAACGTTGAGCCCCCAGCCTGAACCACTCTCCTGCYTCGTAATTAAAATCACAATTGGTAAAATTAGAAAATTTAGTTTGAATAACATCTGAAAATAAAATAATTGTTATGATTTATGTTCTATATTTTAAAATTTAAAAARGTTCTATATATTACCTCGAACATATTTATTTATGAGTGACTCAYTTAAATTTACTTTGTTTTTTTTACCGAGCCATGTATTGTCTGCAGCAAATTTATCATCGTAAATTAATGTGAATACATTTTTCAGAAAATCACAACCATTTTTTCCACCGATAATACGCACATATTCTTTCTGAAAAAATTTTATATAGAAATTACTATACCTAGATTACATAGTAGTAGATAAAAAGAAAATTCCAGCTTTGATTTGTATATATGTGTGTGTGTGTTAAACGTATAGTATTAATATCTAGTATACTAAAATATCTCTGCTAAAATTTACTGCTTACACAGATGTACAGTGAAGATAAACATTTTAACGATATTGTTTATTATTAAGTTAAATTTTAATTATCATTATATTTATAATTATTTCAATTGTTATTGGTATTATTATTATTATCAATATAAGTAGTAGTATTTACTAGTTACTACTTACGAACTCATTTTCTAATTGTTTGGTGATCAAAATTTTCTCCAAAAATTCTAATTCTTGTTTAGTTTCAATAGGGAAATATTGTTTAATGTTCTCGACATTCGTGGTAATGTTTGCTAAATGACCTTGATCAAAACGTTGTTTTAAATCTTTTAGATCCACGAGAGCCATATTCAGTATTTTTAATATATATTTAAAGTTAACTGCAAATAAATATTTAATCTCTAGTCATTTTAAGTTAAAAAAGAACGAATAATAAATAAATTTGAAGTCTTACCTTTTAATATTGATGAAATATCAGTTATATTTTTATTATTGAAGTCAAAAAGATTTTCGAGTTTATTAAAATGTAAGTTATTTAAATCAAATGGAATGTTTTCGTTCGTAGCATGATGATTACCATTCGGCGTTGTAATGTTAATAATTGAGTCTCTTTCTAGTTGTGCTGTAGAATGGTTCTTATCATTATTATTTTCACAGCTATCAACTTCGTCTGGTTCGACTGAAATTTAAAAAATAAAATAAGTAATAGCTGTATATTAAAATATATATGAAAACGAACGAACCAAATTTAACTTACCAATTTCTGGATGATGTTCGAGCACTGTATTTGCTGTAAATAGGTAGAAATATACATAAATTAACAACAAAACTGTAGCAAATAACAACGAAAATTGGATTAATGTGAAAAGGTAAATACGTAAACTTTAACGAAAACAGTATTAACTATAGTATAAAAAAGCTATGAAAATTATTTATACGATTACATATATTTACAAATATGTCGATGTTGAAAAATTAGTGACATTGCTGTATTATGTTAAAAAAAATTACATGGACAAGTTTTTTAATAATTACTTACATAAATTGGGTGTGTTAGTGTTGCTGGATTTAGTTTCGTCACATATTTTCGGCATAGGTGTAGCTGCTGCAAATAACATGATGATTTGTTTTTTATACAATTGGTGTAATTTATTTTCTAGCGTTTCAAAGAAATGAAAAAGAAAGTAAATATTTATGTATAATACTATTAAAGACGTTATACATTTTGTCCTTTTTCCTTCTATAATCAGTTTATAGAAAAACTGAGACATAACCAAGTATCTTGTAAGAGAATATTTTTATACAGTGAACTTACGCTTAATAAATCCCCTTTTTTGTTTTTTTGGAGGTTCGTCTTCTGTGTCCTCATCAGTTGTGGGGTCAATAACTAGTGCTAATCTCTTCTTCTTATTGTATTGTCGCTCAGCAGCAGTAGATTTAGAAGATCGACAACCACGACCAAGACCTTCTTCGGAAGAAATATAATCGGATTCAGCTGCGACTCCCCGAGCTTTTTCATAAGCGTCTATAAAGAAATCAATTTATAACGAAGAAAATATCAATTTAAACCATTTATCGATTCTACAACATACCAAAGAAGTTCATAATTTTGACATTTTCTATTGTCCAGGTTGAGCTATTGGGTTCTAATTTTTCTTTAACATAGATATCAATTTCTTTTGGTGTTTTTGGAGGCCACCAACAATGCCATTCRTCGTTATCATCGTCACAAGGAGGCATCAGCCAACTRCTTGGCACTTCCACATATGTATTTTTATTTGTAAGATATACACAAGCAAAATTTTTATCTATAAAAAAAACATAAAATTAGTTTTTGTAATAATCGAAATAATTCAATCAAATTAGGAATGTTCAATAATTATTGAACT